GACGGACAGAAAAGAAGATGGAGAAGTTAACCTGGGGTATTAAAAACATACTAAAACAATCTCGGACTTTAGTTTGTGCCGTTTCGTTCCATTATAAAATAAGATAGGAAAAAAAAAAAAAAAAAAAACGACTGCTTCCGAGTTTTAGGTATCCCTTTCAAACATCTAATATTCGGCTTTTGCGACCAAGGAAATGAGCATTTCATTTAAAATGCTCACCATCCGACGAACCGAAAGTCGCAGCTAATTCTACGCTGAAACAACTTGCAATCCGCTTCTTTAAAGTCGAAATTGTTTTTATGTAAAGGAAGGGCAATGTAGCTTGTACCGTCCAATACATTGAAGCATCATGTTGCTAACGATCGTGCCGCAGCGTAGTTGATGCCGCGTTACGACCGCTGGTAGGTCGTAGCTGTATCAGAAATCCTACGTGCACTCCACCGAAGCGGCACCAAAGATTCATATTTTCGCGCGTGCAGCCGCGCATGCGCACACATTCTGGATAACACGCCGGTGTCGACACCTGTCGCGATCAATACCACGCGCTTCAGGCGAGCCCCTCCGGTCCCAACACTACCCAAGTATTCTAGTACCCTGTACTTAGGGTTTTACCCTTTGCTTAGTTCGATCTCAGCTGCCAGTTTCGTTAAGCCGCCGCTGCGTGCATTGGGGGAACTTGAGTCTTTCTGCATGTGGAAGAACCCCGCTGGAGCTTTGCACGTGACGAGACAACATGAGCCGCCTCGTGCACTGCCGTCTGCCTCCTGTGAACTAAAGTTACGGCGGCGTCACGCCTGCGTTGAACGCTTAGTGAGAGCGGTCTATTGGGACGATTGTTGGCACAATAGATGACTGTTGCCATCTATGGTTGAGGACACCTGGAGCTCTAGTCTAGACAGCTGTCTACTGTCTCAGAAAACCCGGTATCCCTGTGTGCCCACGGCAACCCTCTCCCTTGACGCGGCATGACTGCTCGACAGCGTGGACGGCGTGATCTTCGTGCATTCTCTCAGATGCGTGGTGTCTACACCTCTAGGAGGGCAACATTTGGCACTTCGCGTGCGCTAGTGCGCATAAATAGAGAAGAATGTATTTTTCTTGGTAAAGTATTTGGTGACACCGTCAACTGGCATGCTTGCAGCCAGTCCAGAAATGACCGTAGTGACGTGACTCGCATCACAAATGTTCCAAGATGCCTCGTTCACATTTCAATGACTGCGTTTTATGTGCGTAAAAGAATGAGACATTTAGAATAAAAAATATAGCAATGCAAGTAAGATAGATATTAAACATATTTTAATAAATCTGAATATGCTTGTAGTTTCATTTCATTATCACTGCGGGGTCAGAAATAGAATTTACAACAAAATTTGATTGTTTCATTTTTTTACTCTCTTGTTTTGTAATTGAAGGTTCCCGGTGCATCTGAAAAATACAGGCATAGTTGCACGTTATCCCTCCAAACGTTTGGGTCTATACAGCATGAATTTACTGTATTTTTGGTGGCGATCATGGCAAAAAGTGGCATGTCGCTATTTCAGTGGTTCCTGCTTGTGAACTCCGGAGATGAGAATTGCAGCCATTGGACTTAAAGATGTAATGAGATCTCAGCTGCTCGTCAGACTATGCCCGCGTAGTTGAAATGAATCCTCAGTCTGGTGGGGTGTGCTTGTTGGTTTAGGCCATGAAACTTTCAAAATTGGGTTTGCCTTATGAAATGTCAAAATTTTGAAAATGTTTTTTTCGTGTCAAGCCAGCCTAAGACTAGATAAATTGTACGGCTTTGTCACCCTGTTTTTTTTTTTAATTGTAATTTAGAGCTGTTGTTGGCAAAACCGGAGCCCACCGCTGAGCGCAGCACCTCATGCGGCAACCACCAGCAAAAAGACACGAAAGAGGGTTACCAGACAGGGCCCATCATGTCATTGACACCGCCAGCCCGACAGCCCACAAGACCACGTATAGTATGCAATAAACCAGTTGTCATCATCAACCTGTCTCGGCCACGACATGGTGGTAGTGGTGGGATCCAGTGTGGCCCACGACAAGAACAAAGGCTATTATAAAAATGTTAGGAGACGAGTGAACATTGCAGTATACGCTTCTGCTATTGCATTCCAGCCACCGAAAGCTTGTCAGAAACCCTTGAATAGACCCTTTTCAAAGGTGTGCGCCATTTATTCTCCGCTCATCCTTTAGCTGAGACTACAGTGGGAGCTACGTTCCTACCGGACCAATCAGCCGCCTCCCTCTTATCACCTGACCCAGCTCTCCACGCAGGGGTATGGCCGGGAGCGTGATGACGTGGCGAAAAAGAGGCGCATGACTGGTCTAACGAGGACGTAGCTTCTACAGCATGCAGTCTCAGCTTAGGGGTGAACGGAGTATGGTAGTTGCAGCACCAATTATCAAAGCCCGCCATTTGTTTGGGCGCACACTCCGCCATTGTTTGGGCACACGAACCTCTCAGTTCGATGACATTCGTAACAATCGTAATAATTGTGCCACCCAGCCACCTAATTGCTTATTTTGTGTCCAGGAGCTGCGAAGTGCTGGCACACACGTGCACGAAGAGATAACCACGTCGGTAGAGGTGGACACAAAGCAGAAACGATTGAAAATAGATATAACCGGTAGCGTTGGTGCGAGCTGAACGCCTGTGGTCGGTGTCGACGAAGGTGCCCAGTGATTAGATTAAATGGCGCATACGACAAGCATACATGGTGTTCAATAAAGTCAGCATGCCCATCCCTCGCATAAGAATCTCTTTTTTGAGCGTTCTCCGACGGCGATAAAAATACAGTCAATCTAGCGAGATGCCCTCGGGGGCAATCGCGGCGATTCCGGCACACACACACTGCCGTCGTTGCAGAATAGAGTTACGCTACCGGTGTTGGGAGACATATGTTTAGAGTGTCTGATTGTGCTTGGAAGACGTCGAATGGGTATCTGCGCTCTATTCTCTCACTCGGCCGAAAAGCCGTGCTGCTCGCTAGGCCTTACCGGGAATTCGAGTGTCGCCTTGTTGCCTTAGGGTGTAGTCAAATTTAGTTACCTGTTGTTTGACTAGGTATGGGGTCGTCATTGTCAACCTGGGGGTCGTTATATTTGGGACAACCTTTTACCGCCCCATAGGTAGTCACATATACTACCTTGTCTCTTAGAGAGAGTATGTTGTGTCACCGAGGACAGGACGATAATGAAACACAGCGCCGCGTCCAGAAGCAAGCGATCACGCCGTACCGCTAGTACCGACCGCTATGGCGCGCGCGATGTAAACAGACGCGGAATCCTCACATCCCGGGTATCACGTGACATTCACGTGCTGCTCACCGGCGCCCCCTAACGTTGTTCTCGTCGCGAATAGCAGTACACGAGACATCTCCTGCTCTTCCGTGCTCCGCACGCGCAGAGCTCCAGCGAGGTTGTCGCACGCGCAGAAAGACTAAAGTTCCCTCAGTGCATTGCAGCAGCGGTGACGTAGCAAAACTGGCTGGTGAGATCCGTCTACTCGGCGGCCGCGATTGGCCGGCGCCGCGCTTGACCTTGACGCCGGTCAATCATGGCGGTCGAATTCCTCGCCGTCTTTTTCGCCAAGTGTCCAGATTAGAGCCCCGGATTGTGCTTTTCAATGTGACCTATTAATCTTGCGTCAAGATCAACGGGGTGCTTCAGTTTTCACCAACGCAGGAGAATATTGTAACAAAACAAACAAAAAAACACTCAAAATAAAGAAATTATTCTTTTAAAGTAATGTTGCCGACCGCGGCGAACGTCAAGGTACGAATCACAAGTAATACGCTGAGTAAACAATTCAATTGCCCGAAAGTTACCAAATAATGGATTAACTTTCGAAATACTATACATTTACGCTGGCACATCCCACTATACTCTACGTCCGATCGCAGCTGGCGCCATGATCTTAGAGTCAATAAAGCTGCGCAAAAAGTGCATGGTCACAGCGTTCTGACTCTCGTCATCTTTGTGAGTTGCTATTACAGGCCAGATCAATCACGTGTAAGTGAACGTGCCTTGGTCCTGCGCTTTTGCGTGAATGGTTAAGCTGATGATACCAAGAATACAAACAAGACAAGCGAAGTGACAATTGCGGCTTTGGCGCCGCTTGACTGGCTCTATATCGTTGGATCGTAGTGACGGCTACGCCCGCATACTTTCTGTGAAACGGAGTGTAGAGATTCGTTGCCCGTCGTCCACATATATGCTATGCGGAGTGAAAGTGAGGGAGACGAGGATATGAGAGCGCGAAGGGGATGCCACAGAGCGCCGAGCTCAGGTTGGTACGTAATAATTGTAGTTGTGTTGTATGTTGGTTTACACGGCCGGACGTTGGTCAGCCCCTATGGGAGTCTGGTTTCTCAGCTGTAGGTGAGAAATTTAGTCAGTGCAGTAGAAACGCTAGCCTCGGGTCTTTTTAGGGTGCATCGCGTAGTAGTGGTACACGACCGCACGCCGGTACGACGCGCATCCAGATTGGAAGGGGCGGGGGAGGCAGGTATTGAGCCATGGATCGCTGTTTTTGGCAGCGTTAGCTTTCGCTCTACGTGCTCCGAGCCGATGCCCTAATCTGGACACTTGGCGAAAAAGTCGACGAGAAATCTTGCGGCTATGATTGGCCGGCGCCAAGGTCAAGTGCGGCGTTGTCCAATCACTGCCGCCAGGTTTCTCGCCGACTTTCTCGCCAACTGTCCAGATCCCAGGTATGCGCTAGCCCACTCGGCCACCGATCCCCCTGGTTGGAATGATTAGTGCGTAGACGCAAAGCTATCTGTCTTTATCTCTACTCCCTATTCGACACGTTCGAGCATCATTCCAATCATATATCTCGGCGCTCTAACGTCCCCGCGCTCTCACCTCCTTTCCTATCTCTGATAAACCAAAAAAATAAATAAAAATTCTGGATTTTGCGCGTTATCGGTAAATCTTTGAGTCAAGAAGGCTGACGACTATGTGACTCTTTTGTCGCTTGAGAACAAACGCCATATCGCGAAGGCTATCGGTTGTTTTTAGCACATCGTTCCCAGCCGGGTTCCTCTTCAAGTGGCATTGTGTTATCGGAGACGTCGCCTGGAAAGGATCACTTTTTGACTGGTGAGTGTACAACATTCCGTGAAAAGCAGGCTAGTAGTGGCACTCGTTGACTTGACTATGTTATGAAACGCTTACGTGATGCGTTCTGTGGTATATCCCATTGAAAAATGTATCTATTAATTTTATGTTTTACGTGAACGAACGGGAAGTGCCAAGCACGTCACATGCTGTGGCTAGCATGACGACAACGACGCACATGCATTGCCTGCAACAGGAGCCCGCTATTGCAGTGTCTCGAGTAGGTTGCCTGTGACGTGCGAAAGGACACTCTTTACTGCACTTGCTCACCCGAGCTGACGCACGCAAGTATGTACATACGTATAGTGCAATACCGAAGGTAGAAAGCTTGCATTGGGGTTGTGAAAATAGACATACCTCCACGTGGCTAGGAGCTACGCAACAATTTTTGTACTCTGCGTAAATACCGCTTAAAACGGATCCCTAACGTTAATGACCTATGAAACACGCGTTCGTTTTTCACCCCACGCAATAGAAGTCCCAGAAAAAAAATTAAAGAAAAACGAGCAGCGTTCACCCCCTCAACTCGCAGCCAGAACAAGCGGCCACGTGATCTGGAGCCGATTATATGCCGCCAGTGTTGATCATAGCCACGCGCTGGGGTTGGCAAAGCGCAGGACACGCGCTGAGTTCCAGACATTGTTATGGCTCGGCTGTTGTCGTCGTTGCAGCGATTGGACACGGGTCACAACCCGAATGCTTCTCGAGCTAGCAATTGTCACGAGCCCAAGTCGAGTGCCCACGCAATGCTCGGGTCCAATCTATGAACCGCATTCAAATATCGTCACTTGGGTGTACTGCGATCCCCGAGTTACGTCATCAAATTTTGCAAAGGAGAGATTGAATGAAAATGATCGCTTTTGTCCTTGAAATTACACCGCAACAAAGGAGTTTCTTGGCCAATGGCGTTGCGTGTGAGTATCCTTGAGTCCCAGGTGTGCCAGTAAGCTCGTGTAGAGAGAAAAACATCCCAATTGAATATCGTTGCACAGCTCCTTTAAAGCGGCGAGTAGCATAAGATCGAGGATGTGCGATCGTTCTCGTATTTTATTATTTTTGAAAAATTTGCGTTTTCTGATATACCTACTATTTCTGCATGGGGTTAATTTCTCTACTAAAGTTTCTTTCAACTCTGCAGTAATTAGAAACAAGCACATACGTAGAGGACCGGAGACTTTCCCACATGATCTTGTGTAAGTGCTTCGAAAACAGTATACTATAGGAAATTACAGCTGGATATTCCGTCAATTGACATACATGTGTAGTCATGCTTTCGCTCGTGTTGGCGTTTCGATAACTTTTCCCTTTAGCATATCCCGTGGTCCCCTCCTTTATTATGGGTGAATGTGTCACAACATGTCATAGCAGCTGGATTTGAAAAATATTCTACAAACTCTATAGGCAGGTGTTACGAAAGAAACAAGCGACGTGAACGACAATCTTTGTTAACGTATGGCCCCTTCATGCTAAAAGAATTATTAATATGTCCGGTAAACATTCAAGAACATATAATGACTTTTGTACAATTTGTATAACTTGTATATATTGTGGTATGTTTCTTCGATAAAACAGACATCAAATTTATATGCAAAGGGTAATTATAAAACACCAGCAAAACGCATTACTCTGTGCACCTCTTTGTAACTTATTTATTTTGGTATTGAAATATTTATGACACAAACAGCACTTCTATTCATCCACTTGAGCTTGCCGTTACTTTGTTCTTGGGCGGACATTTAGTTCAAGCTTCGTGCGTACAAAAACTAAGAAGTACCAAATGCGATATAGCTTCGCCAATACTGGAAACTCCTCCGGAAACGAATAGGAGCGGCGGCGAACGCGACAGTGGCGCCTCTAGCGGACTCGGAGTCTACGGAAGCAGACGACGCAATGACAAAGTATAGGCTCCGTGACGTCCTCGAGCTTTACGAGCCCCGTTTCGTCAACCCAACATCTGAAATAATTCATTACATTCAAGCCGCTTGCAAAGCGGAATCCTCTGATCGCAATTGTAACGACAATCAAATAACAACGCGCAAAGAAACAAAGATAGAGCAGTTTATTTAGCGGTCTCAAACTCCACTCAAATGATCACACGAGTTTGAAGCGCATCTCGGAAGGGTAAAAGAGGCGTTTGGCTAGCTACTTGACCTACGTTGTAAGAGGTTACTGTTGATCTGTTACAGACTGCGTTGCCACAACTTCTTACCTGAATAGGTGACCATTAAAACGTGCGCAAACAACATGTTAAGATTACCAGACCAAGCGCACGAGCCGCTGCAACGTAACAAAGACATAAAGTAACGATAAAAATGACCGTGCAAACACTTTGCGACCTTCGCAGGAAAGATGGGGTACCTGGCCCCATCTCAGATGTAAATAAAAATAAATGGGGAACAGTAGCGACCAACGGCGAATAAAACGAGGAAGTTTGCAGACGATACGAATATACAAATCAGCCATAGCAAAGACCTCCCTCATCGACAACAATCGTTGCGGCGCTTAAGGAAAAAAAAAGAATGCAACAGCATAAAAGAAAAAAGCTTCACTCTTTTTCTTTTTCTATTTTGCAGTTGTTTCTTACTCTTTTGTTTATTTGCTTTCGCAGTGTTGGTAGGAACTAAAAACAAAGCAGGGGGAAGGAAAACGTAGTCAAACTCACACTGCCCGTCAATAAATAGTCGCACGCTGCAAATCTGCGACGTGCCAGCAGTGTGTGACATCTTTTACTTTCGCATTTCTTTTCCCAGTGACTTTGGCAAGTGTTTCGTTTGCTCGCTCGACGAAGCAGTTCAAAGGTACAGTCTCCGGCAATTTGAAAGACCCACTGGGAGCGCGTGGCCGAGGCGGTGGCTGGCGGGGGCGCTGCGAGCGCTCCGAAAAATTTCATTCTGCTTCGAGGGGAGGACGCTCACTCGGGGCTCAGCACAATCTGATAAGCGCGTTTCGCTTTAGCTGAGCCCGAGTGAGCGTCGTCCTTTCGAAGCAGAATGGAATTGCCCGGAGCGCTCGCAGCGCCTTCGCCATCCACCGCCTCGGCCACGCGCTCCCAGTGGGTCTTTCATATTGCCGGACAGTGTACATTCAAGCACTTACTTGTTGACGTACACCCGCAGGCGATATTAAGGTGAACGGCGGACCGTCGACCGGTGCGTGCTATCAGCGCCATGACGCGGCTGCCATGGAGGCTCGCTTTCTTATCGCTCGCTTCGCCGACATTAAGCGCTTAGATTGAGCGCTGTTCTAAGCTCTGATGCTGCTCCCCGCACAAAGCGTGGAAGTGAGTTTCGATTTCGGTATCGCTTTCTGTGGGCGCCGTGCCCCCGTCATTGCCGGCAAATGATTTGCACATTGCACGTGAACTAGAGCGGACGTTCTTCGGCATGGTTTATCAGTGACTCAACCGCTTTTTACATTCAGGAGTGAACGCTATACTTCGTTAAAGCTGAGGTCCGAGCGCGGCCTATGGTATGAGCCGAAGGGCCAATCTTACAGCGCAAAAACCACAGCGCCATGGCGTGCTCTCTGCGTTTTATAGAACTAGCCGGCAAATGAGCACGCACAGAGAAACGGCGGGTACCGGCTGGTCCTATCAACTGCAGAAGGCACGCCATGACGTTGTGCCTCTTTCGCTGTTTGATTTGCCCTTCGGCTCTTAACATCGGCCGCGCTCGGACCGAAGCTGAAACGAAGTATAATAACTGCGAACGCTAATAACTGTTCTTTTTAAGAAACGGAAAGGGTAAGTTACTTTTTAATTTGTTCCGCAGCTTTCCGGTTTAGCAAGTATCACCCCCCAAAAAAAATACTAAATCACGTTGTCTATTGATGGCGTCTGAAAGACTCTTTCCGTAATCATAGAGCTACTACAATAAACGCTAGAGGCTCAGGTGGCGCTAGTGCGCTGTTGCATTTTGAAGCAGACAGCAAGCAGTCAGAAACTGACTTCCGGTAATGCATTTCCATGGGAAAAAGCGAGTGCAATTTCTCTTTGCGCTCGATTATAAGAGCCAATATCACAAATATTCGTACGTACTCAGCACATTGGAACATTTCTCTGTCACGCAGACGAAATATTTGGTCAGTTACAGCATTTTTATTTGAAATTCGTGGCATAAAAAACGGTGTTAAAACCACTTCGTACGTGTATTTTTGTGCACTGTCGGACACTGTTAGCGCAAACACGGCGTCGACGCGTTCCAGCATGGGGGATATACGTGCCAAACGAATGAAGGACACGTGGAAAACCAAGAGAGACGGCATGAACTACACCGTAACACTGGATAAGTAACTCCATGTGCACGCATACGATCAAAATAAATTGAAAGCCACGTAATCTAGTCAGATTTGCGATAAGTGCTGCTCTATACTTTCTGATCATGAATGTGTGCGAAGATGCTTGTTTTGGGTTCAAATCATCACCCGCACGCTTTAAATCTTTGGAAATAGGGGGAGTCAGAGAGCAGGTGCCCGATAAAAACTGCCGAATATAGGAAATAAGAATAAAAAAAAAAGATTTCGTAGCTCACGTGCTTTATTTTTGCGTTCGAATGTTTCTTCAACCGATCGTAAAGATGCACGACGGAGTCATTTTCATCCAATCACAGGACGAGCATATTAGCAATATATATGCACCACCGAAATGCTAGCAAACCTTGAACACACTCTACATTCCTTTCGATCGTTAGTTTGCCTAGAATCGTCGCTCGTTTTCACATACTTTCCTTGAAACAGAGGTTTGGGCCTGAAATAGAGCGAAGTTTAACATTATTCAGTGGTAAAGAAAAATGCTGTAACGAAAGCAATTACACTTTCACAATACCAATAAAGGTTCATACTATCCGGTACAACCGAAATGACAAAAGTTATTCATGTTATTTTCCGGCGAAGAGACAAAATTTACGCGCGTTTTTCCATCGGAATACACAGGGAGGCTGGAAATGTAGACTGCATGCTGTCTGCTTCAATTTGCAACCGGAAGTCCCGTAGACACTAGCGCCAGCTGAGCCTCTAGCGTTTATTGTAATAACTCTATGTTCGTAATCCTCGCGCTTTCTGCGGGGAGTAGCAGCAGAGCTGAGAACAGCGCTCGATCCAAGTGCTTAATCTCGGCGAAGAGCGCGATAAGAAAGTGAACCGCCACGGCAGCCGCGTCATGGCGCCGATAGCACGGACCGGTGGACGGTCCGGCGTTCACCTTCATATCGCCTGCGGGTGCAGTACGTGTCCAGGCAATCTTTGCACACCGTGCCTTTATTTCGAGAGTCGATCAGCGGCCTCAAGTCCGCCTTTAGCTGAACTCTTGCCTGGTGCAATATATCACTGAAATCTGTTTATCGAAAGCACGGCTGATGTTACGGGGAAAGGGTGACGAGCTAAGCGGGAAGGTGGTGTCATTTCGCATGCGAATAGCTTTTGTTCGTTAACAGAATGTCTTTCGAGGTGTTCCATACTTCTGGTTTCAGTTGGACTTAGCAAACATGATGACAGATTTGACTGGCTGCCCATCGGCCTACATAGTACTGGCGGGTGGTGCACGAAATAACACAATTTTAAAACACCTGTGACAAAATCCCTGCTCGAAAATTCCTCGAGTTTTCTCCCCCGTCCTTAAAATCCCCGGTTTTCAGAACCCCCCTTTTATTAGTTCTCTCAGCTTTTCCCCCAAGTCTCGTTGACGAGGACAAACCGGAAAGCTACCGATCTAAAAATACGAGGTTTTCAAAAAAAAAAAAGTGAAAGGCCTTTACAACTCCCTGCAACACCGAATTAGAGCGCAGCTCTTGAGGAGGAGGGAAGGGTACTGGGGTGGGTGAAGTGACCTGGGGGGGTGGTCACGTGACCTTGGGGGTCACGTGACGATGCCGATGATGTCATCAGTGACGATGACGATGTGGACTCCGATGACGTCATCAGCGATGATGACGATGACGATGCGGATGTCGGTGACGTCATCAGTGACGTCACTGATGACGTCATCCGTGACGATGACGATGCGGATTCCGGTGAGGTCATGAGTGACGTCACTGATCACGTCATCAGTGATGATGACGATGACTATGCAGATGCCGGTGACGTCATCAGTGACGATGACGTCATCGGGGAGGGTCACGTGACCTCGGGGGGTCACGTGACCCTGGGGATGGTCACGTGACCTCGGGGGGGGTCACGTGACCTTGGGGGTCGCGTGACCTTGGGGTGACCTTGGTCTCGCCGACGCCGCTCAAGCCGGGAACGGGCCCCTAAGAGCTGCGCTCTAAAAAAAATATGGCAGAACAATTGAACTCTAAAGAAACGTAGCCTAGATTTCATCTATGCAAAGACACCTCGAGAACCTTTGGTGACTTTTGGGAGCGATGATAACCATTGCTATCTATAGACCATTCCAGTTAGCGCTTTCATGGCGGCGCCATTTTGTTCGGCCGCGGCGCCATCCCCCACGTCCGGGAAGTTCAGCAGGCTCGGCGAGGTAAAACGAGAGAGAGGGCACGCACCCGATTCCGCTAGCTGACGATAAACCGGGAGATTGCCGCTCTCCATTTGTGGGCTGTACCGGCGGGCTGTACCGAACATCGAAGTCTCGCTCGTGACTGCCGTTGTGAAGTGGTTCGCGTTCTTAGAATATTTATAGCCACTCCAAAATCAGCCTATAGCACTCTGTTCTTTTATTTCAGGAACAACTAGTGTATCTTTATGCCATTATTTCAAAGCAGTGGGTTCAGCCGGCTGTACTACCTTTAACCACTGCGTCTATTGCGTCAGAAGAGCACGTTTTTATTTATTATTTTATACTTCCACTCGTTGTCGCTAAAGGCCTGACACAATTTTTCACTCTGACAGAATTTTTCCATTTTTTTGTTTTTATTTGCACCCAGGTAACAGCGGAATTGAACCCGGTTAGACTTTTTTATCGAGCATTGTTTTACACGATAACTTGCGTATTAAAATCCGTGCATCTGCGCTTGAAATTTCAAACTGGCGCGATTTCAAACCGAATTTTAACTCCAGCCGGATGTCAGGTACAGCCCACTCGGCGGAGCAGACGACGCACAGGGTGAGAAGAGGGGGGGGGGGGGGGCGTATTTTTCTTTTATCCTTTCTTCCCAGTGGAACGGTCAATAAATGTTGAGGTCGAAGAGTTTGATACTTATAAGTTTCCACACTGAATGTTTCCCTGTCAAGCTCAAGATGCAGGAGGTGGAGGTCGAATAATAGCAGAGGCGCACGAGTGGATTAATATTAGGCACGAGGGCATTAACAAATTCTAAAAATTAATGTGCAGAAGACAAAAATGAATGTTATAAAATAAGTCCTTATCTTAGTAATAACCGATGGAAAATTGCGAGTTTAAATTACCACGCATCAAATATTACGTGCACCGAAAATTATGTGCGCAGACGTGCACTACACTGAAAAAGCATAGCGATCCATGCACCGAAACGTCCCTGCACCGCAAAAGACGTAACCGAACCGTCCGCAGGCGCATAGCGGGTAAATTGGTCACGGGGATATTGATACTGGGGATAAGCGAGATGGGAATTCTGAAAACGGGGATTTTGACACTCGGGGGAAATGGCATGGGGCATTTGGAACGGGGGAAATGACATCGGGAGAATCGTGCTGCAACCGAGCTGTGTGTTCAGTTGTGGATCTGGTCTGTCGTCCGTGAAGTTCTTCGCGGACGACCGACAGACACTACCTATGCAGCGTCCGAGATGCAAAGTGGAACCGATCTACCGACAACCCGCAGACGGTTCTACTGACCAAAAAAGTTTGTTCCTTCCAAAGGGTACTTCCCAATTCCAAATCAGACGTTGCATGGGTTGTGAAATGGAAATCTTTAATTTTATGTCAAAAATTCTGACTCACGTTCGTTTCTTTTTTTTTTTAAATATATTTAAGCAGTAAATTGCATGCAAAAAAATCCGGCACATCCACGAATAAATGCACACATGCAAAAGTGATAACATAAGGACTTTAATACTTTAAAAATATAATCTTTCTTAACCCCCCCCCCCCCAACTTATCACGCAGATATGCTTAAATGGCTCAAATGGCTTAAGTGATGTCGCATGAAGTTACCTCACACTCCACTTATAAGGTGAAATCTCTAAACGTGCGTGCTATCGTCTAGACGAATATGGCGTGATGTCTTAACATTTCCAAGTTTTTTTTTTTATGTTATCAGGCTTGAGGTGCCATGGAGATCAGCGATAAATGTTGAGAGGTTTGTTTTCGTGCAGATGACCCACATATGTAGATAACGCAGGTACATTTTGAATACGGAGACCAGTCCCTGTATATTGTATCTTTCAGCTCTACGGCTTTCAGAAAAATCTGTTTCCACACAACCCATCAATGATGACGGCGAGAGCATACCAAACAGGTGAGTTAGCTTTTTTTGGTTCCTTAACCCGGGATTTGAATGCGTTTCGAAGCTTGGCCCGCGGGACTATTCAATGCGTTTGAATTGCTGTTATATACTTTGTGACTCTTTCTGCTACATGTGAGGCTCTTATATTTTTAAAATGGAAGCTTATTGAAAAAAATAAATAACGACGAGAACGTATCATTTAGCAAACCTTTGATTAGTCAAACTGTCGCTACAACCCACAGAGATAAATCCTTGATAAATGTTATAAAGTTGGTGCGGGTCGGCCTTTATGTATATTGATAACACACATAAAAAGATAGCTGTGGATATATCTTCTTTCTAGAAGATATATCTTCTAGAAAGAAACAATATGAATGCAAATATGCTAATTGTTTATTGCTTTCACAGGCATGGCGTTTCCTAGCCTAACTCCGGGAAAGCTTCGCCTTTACAGCAATCGGTTTTGCCCCTTCGCCCAAAGAGTTCTTCTTATGTTGGCTGCTAAGAAAATTGAGTGAGTATAAATTACAGTAGTGAACCATATGAACGACAGCACGCCATCTGCCCTCTTAGTATCAGTGCAATCTCTACAACCCCTATTACCTCTCGCTATGTCAAAGAGTTAATGAACTGAAATCGAAACTTCGAGTTTTGGCCCTAGTTAAAACCAGAGCGTCCTTCATGACTGGCAGGTGCTCCAAATGATCATGACCATTCATAAGTCATAGTCAGATAGTTTCCTATCTTAAGTGATAAGATAGTTTCTTATGAGTGTGCTTCAAATTTATTTTTACGGGCTATGTATATTTCACTAGACACTACAAAATGCGACTACCCTAAAACTTCGTGCTGGGGCATCACCCTCGTGTAGCTGAACGTGAAATTAAGAACGCCGAAAATATTTCCATTTCGTGTCCTTTAATTTTTTTGCGGATGGTTATAAAATTTCGACTGCCCTCAAGCTTTGCTTTATCACAGTGTCTTAATTTTGTTCAATTTACGTTTTATTCCTTGTTTTGTAAGTAATTTGTTGTTTTCGAACGAACAGCCACGAAGTAATCAACATTAACCTCAACAAGAGACCCGAATGGTCTACCAAAGTACTTCCTGCCAGGACCGTGCCTGTCCTGCATCAGGATAACGTGGTAATAAGCGGATCCATGGCCATCGCAGAATACTTGGAAGAGGTCTACGCGAGCCCAAGGCTTCTTCCTTCGGATCCATACCGTAAAGCTCTGGACAGGAGCTTCCTGGATTTGTCCTTGCCCGTGAGTTGTACTGTAGATTTATGAATCGATACTGAAAACTTTGGTGCCTAGAACGCGTCTTCGACTGGTGCATGTACCGCCTCCTAAAACATTAGCAGCCCTGTGTTAATCCAGGTGCACAGTCGCAGCGATTGCTGCGACACTTCACTGCGAAGTCGTTGGGCATCGAAATTGAGTTCAGGTACCGTGGGGTACGTCAACAAAAGCGCTCGGAACAAACTAGACATCTGACCATTTGTTCCGAACGCTTTAGTTTCTTCTTTACAGCGATATAGCTGTAGTGGGCTCTTTCCACTACTGGAAACGACGTCCGTGGTTGATGTTGTAGTGCTGACGTTGTTCATGTTGTAGTTGGCGTAGCAGTTCGTCCGTAGTTGATGTTGCCAAATCCTAGAAAAATTTCGTCCGCCGACCGAGGGAATCGAACCTGGGTCCACTGCGTATGAAGTGGTCAGAGCTACGCCACTGAGTCAGTAGGGACTTTCAGCAAGCCGTTACCGTACTAACGTTACCGTACTACCGTTACCGTGGGCGTGCGAATGCGCGACCGCGTACCGTTCAAATCCTGCAAATTTTGATTTTAGCATACCTGGGACTCGTAGCGTGGTACCGGAGCTTGGCTGGAGCATACCCTCATGACAAAAATTGACGGCAATAAATAAATTTATAAAAATGGTGGCGCAGTAAAGTGGAATATTCATAAATCAAAGAATTGGCATAAATTGGTGCCTGATACTTAGGAACAGCGTTTCTTGGCAATGCACTCAAATCTATGGGCGTACTTGAGCTCGCGCACCCCGGGCACCGATCAAATATACGCGCGTGCCCTCTTTAGTTGAACACATAAAATAGCGCAAAAAAAAAAAAAAAACAAGGACAAGAAGTATACAGGACAACCGCTAACTTTCGACTAGTTTTTACTCAGGAAAAGCAAGCATATATATACACACGACAGGCAAAGCAGCACCGCATAACAGTTAACTAATTGTGTGCACGGTCATTGAAGAACTGAAACTCATTATTAAGAAGTTCAATAGAAGTGTCGCCAACACATGCCATCCCAATTTTTTTTTTTATAAAGAATGCTTCCAATAGCTTTCCAGCAACCGTCTCTCGGCTTCTACCCAGAATCCTTATCTGCTTTTTTGCGCTATTTTATATGTTTAACTAAGATGAACCAACTAGCCCAACAACGTACCCTACTAAACTATGTGCGCTCTTTGTTTCTTCTGATATTCGCGGCAGAAATTTGGGTATCGCTACCTGGTGGAATTCGTTCAGAACCCAGCGTGAGGATACTTCAACTTCCTCTGCTGATGCAAGCCCGTACAATGACAAGCTTCTAAGCACTATGAAAATTAAAACATATATGCATGGGTTCAATGCCCACAGTGAGGAAAACAAAAGCGCCCTTAGCGAGCTTCTCACCACGAATACCATGAAAAGCTGCCCCCGAGTAGGGAGCGCCGGTATCGTGCTCGCCACTGAAATGAAATAAGTGAAATGAGCTTGGCTTTCTGCACAAGTGTAATGCCCTAGCTACAAGGGCAGCCTTAACCACAGTTTAGCTCACAGTAGTTTGCTGCCAACAGCGATTAGACACAACTCTGCCCAACACCAGCATCTTGATCCTTGTTTTCAATACAAAAACAAGGGTTGTGTTATGTCATTACTCTAAGTATTGAAGCAGATTATATTAAAAAAAACAATTTGTTTTGTTTATAGACGTTTAATGACTATAGACTGCTCGCGACGACCGTGATTGAATAAAACGGCAATTATTTTTTTGTAGTGTACCTTTGGTTTAAAAATAAAAGCAGATAATAAAACCAGAACTTGAAACTAAAAATGTACGCTCTTGCATAACGACGGCGTTCATGCTGCCTACAAATATTGTCGCCGTCTCGTCAGCTTCCTTTCGCTGGTCGGCTACACCTTCCAACGCTGATCCCGACGCCATCAATACATGCAACAAACGCGCCCCACCGCTCGACTCAGTCGTCTGCGTCTCCGCCCGCCGTTGACGCTGGCAAGATTTTGGCCCTATTTTGTACAGAGAGGGAGCTACGCTTTGTAATTTCACAAGAAAGAACGGACTTGTCAAATACACTTTGACGAAAAGTTTAGATTCCTTTCCGCAGGCGTTGATTTTTACGGTCCATTTCAAATCGAGCCTGGTGACTTCAGTCACCCTATATAATGATAATTCACCTTGCTTTCTTAATGGCAAACAAAACAAACACTATCGACAAACACACTGTTTGCAAACAAGCCCGCGTTTTGCCATCCGGGTGAGGGCACTGCGCGCGCGCAAAAACCAGATTCGCCAGATGCGAAGCATCTGCGCATGCGCAGTGCCGACAGCAGCGCCACCGCATTGGCGTGACGTCAGAGAGCTGAGTTGGTCTATAGTCGCGGTGCCAGACGAAGAGCCCAGTCGAAGCTCCAACTCCAGCGCGAGCTTTCTCGTCCTGAAAGTGGAAGACGGCTCACGCAGCTCTCTAGGCAATAAGAAACAACAAAAAGCTCACGCAGTTGTAGGCGCTTTCAGGCACCTGGGCGCCGGCATAACCGACCTTCAGTTTGTTGTGTTTCCTCTTATTCCGTTCGCTTCACTTTATCATTGCCACAGCAGGACAGGTTATTGGGGAACGCGACAGAACAGCACACGACAAAACAGCACGCGACAGAAGAGCACGGTCAAAACAGCACGCGTCAAAACAGCACAGCGTCAAAACAGCACGGCGACAAAACAGCGCGCGTCGAAATAGCACGCGACATAACAGCACAGCGTCAAAACGGCTCAGCGACAGAAGAGCACGTGTCAAAACAGCACGGCGTCAAAACAGCACAGGGAGAAAACAGCACACATGTAGCAACTTCGAGCGTGCGCTGCAGCGGCTCGTTCGCCTCACGCGAGTAGCTATATTTTTTACACGGCGGTGGAAGTAAACTGTGACTTTTTCGCAAGGTGGTCGGCACTTCGTTACCCATTTCTTGCGTAGTCTTATGAACGAAGGAGGTTTAACATTCGCCTTGACGAGTAATGAAATTAGTTTGCAGGCTCAATTTCGGAACTAACGTTCGTTTGGCAGCATCGTCGTGAAAAGTTCCCATCTCGTGTAGCAACTTTTTTTTTCTCATCTATTACACCTTGCCTGGAATAAGGAATGTTATTTTTTTTTTTAATTGCTGCGTTTAGATATTTGTGTAGAAGAAGAAAATGAGATCTAAATTCGCAGAATTGATTGATATATCGGTTGCTTTGAAAACTTATTTTGGCACCATGATGCTAACTCCGTTAATTGTTCTCCTTATTAGCTGTGGTTGCTGTAATTCATACTGACCAGTTTGGTGCAAAAGGCGGTAATTATCTTGATCCTTCAGGATTGAGCGTTAAAAAGGCTGTAATAGGTAGCGTTTCGTGAAAACAAAACAGAACGTAAAGGAAAAGGGTTGGCCATTGCATGACATCATTCAACAGCTATAGTCAATAATAAAAAAAATGTACGTTGGTTGCGACGGGATCGCACTCAAGTCAGTGTCCCGAGTGCTGCCGCTGTGGGATTGCTAAATACTAATAAAGTTAGCATTAGTTACTACTACTTAACTACGCTGGTCTCTGAAGAGATTGTGTAGTTAGAGATGATATCTTCGCGTCGATGTTGGCCGCGTTGCGTGGTCTTTTTGTAGTAGAACCAGCGAAAGAGGAAAAGTTATTGGGAAAAACAAATCCATAAGTTCAAGTTCTGAATCATCTGGTTTGTGGCGGTCCGGTGAGGCTCCGTAGCACTCGTCGTTTTGTAATTAGCGCATAAGCGTAGAACATCCCCCCAGAAGAAGCGGGAGATCCGCAGATTACAGATGCAGTGATATAACCGGTAAGAAAAGGTGACTTTAATGTCGACCGTATTCAAGGTGTACAATGGGCTCCGATTCTCGCGGCTGCAGCTTGCAGGCGAGAAGTTGTTTTGAGTTAACTTCACAGATTATTGCCGACGAATGCCTCGATCGAATGGAAAGCGGTGAAGCAGAAACATGCCACAGCCTCAATGCTGTTGCCGTACAGCATGGGCGTAGCACACCATTGCTACGCACGCTTTCCTTTTTTTTAACAACTGACGACAACACATTGCTGTGCAATTGATTCGTTTATTGTAGACGACATCACCAGCAAACTTGCGCGTCAAAATGAGCAGAAATGCTTGAGAAATAGCCAGAATACGCACCAGCCGGGGCTTCAGTACTGCCCAGAGAGCCTTCATGTGCGCATCGAGTATACTCCCACTCCGAACTTGCTCCCAAAAGAACGGATTCGACAAATTGGCCGTCGACAAGTTGGCTTTCGACGAATTGGCCTAGAACCTCAGTTCCTTTACAGTGGTTTATTTGAGACGTGCATTTTTTTAACTTCAAATGCTATATTTAGGGTTCAGCGTTTTCGGCTTAAACCGAATAAAACCGGTAAAAGTACGCCGAATCCATTTTTCCGAATTCGGTTTGACCTGAAAAAGGTAAGAATTTTCGAGAACGTTTGGATGTATTGGGGGGAGGGACGGGGGGGGGGGGGGGGGGGGGGCGATGTGACTCAATACTGACAGTATGAACACTTCCTTTCGCAGTTTTCGGTTTGTCTCCGAGATCGGTTCAACTTTCAACAAAGCCTCCGGGGGCGCAGGGGTCTTCAGGACGAAATCTGGGTTTTTCACCTGATAGAGATTTGTGCGCCGAGTTCTTTTTTCAAGGAAGAGAGTTTAATCATGAACTGAACAATGAAAATCAAGGGCGTGCGTAAATGCCGCACATTTTTTAACACCCCTAGCTTCCGTCTACCAGAGGGGGACATAAATACGATTGTTTTATTGTCGTTTCTGTGGTCGGCGCGAATTTATACCACCTCTCACAGTCGTGAAATGGGAAAAAAGACGCACTGAGTACAATGCTTCCAAATTTCTGGATTTTGATATTTGCCTCACCGACCGAAGTGTTAGTGAAGCTCATGCTAGCCCTGTGTACAAATGCGAGCGCACGACGATGTCAGATGACGATGCGTCTTGCAGAAAAGGTCGCGTCGGCTGCCACAGACAGCAGCAAATAAGAAAACCAGTACCTGGTTTACTCACTATAAATTTTGAACAAACGCTTTTAAATATTGCGTTTTCGTCAGTATACTGGTTTTCGTCAATAAACCGAAAAGAACCTAGACGTTTATGAGTCTACAAATATTCACCTCAATAAACCGAAAACTTCTGTTTGGAACAAAAACCGAAAAAAAGTACGCCCGAATTTCAAAATAATAAAAACCCAAAACGCCAAACCCTAGCTATATTGTCAATGTCCTGTTTTGACGCTCTGTTCTTTTGTCGCGGTGCTGTTTTGACGCCGTTCGCTTCGGTCACTGCGCCCTTTTGAAGGTGTGCTGTTTTGACGCCGTGCTGTTTTGGCACGTGCTCTTCTGTCGTTGTGCTGTTTTGACGCTGTGCTGTTTTGTCACGTGCTATTTTGACGCGTGCTGTTTTGTCGCCGTGCTGTTTCGACGCTGTGCTGCTTTGACGCGTGCTGTTTTGACCGTGCTGTTTTGTCGCGTGCTGTTTTGTCGTGTGCTGTTCTGTCGTGGTGCCAGGTTATTGCCACTTTAGGTGCTGTTGTTTCCTTGCTCCTAGCATAGGCCTTCGTGGGGGCTCGTTAACGCCCGCTTCAGTGGCTCGGCATCTCGGTAAGACAAGAGAAAGTCGGCTATGGCGGTTCAGTCTGGCGCGCGCTGAAAGCGTCTATACTCCGTTTCATACTTTATATGCAACGCTGTCAATGCTACTGGCGCGAAAGCGTAAATAGTAAATACATGTATGGTTTCGTTCGCGCGAGAACGCGTGCAAATGATCATGGATATTTTTTCTTCTCGCTTTAGCAGGTGGTGCGAGTATGGTAATAGCCCCCTACCACTTCCGGTTCTGAACTAGACGATGGGCTTTGCAGCAGCTGCAAAGTCAAATATACACGCTATATTCTAAAAATGACTTCGTATAGCACTGGCAGACTTAATTCACTCTGTGCTAAAATAATTATGAGTACAAAAATTAGAAAATACACGTGAACCTTAAATGTTCCGGGGCTACCCAGTAGATAGTGCCACCGAGTTTGTTACCAAACAAAAAAGAGCGAATTCACGCAGCCAAGGCGCGGCGGAAGACAACGAGCGCGTGATGAAGGTACGCGTTGTGAAACTATTTGAACATAGCTTAGCCACCGAAGAAGCCGCAACGCCATCGAAAGCATCCCCCGCAAAGAAATGTCGACACAAAACTCTGGTTGTCGCCGTCGCTCATAGATGGCGGTAGCTGTCCAGAGTGTTGTGTTTACGTGTTTACCTAAATCTCCCCCCCCCCCCACCCTCTTTCTCCTTCTGTAATTCAGGCAATGTGACATCTATAAAAAAAACATACCACTCTATACCCTATTTCACCTTATGATGTACCGCTGGGAAGGCTACGAGCGCGAGCTCCTTGCTTTAGGGAGCATCTCGGCGGCACAAGCTCTCGTGGATTTATGGCAGCTGCCAACGCTATGAGCTCGCGCTTCTAGCCTTCGCTGCGGTACAACATAAGGTGAAATGGAGTAGGGTCGAAATGTACTTGTTGGCTTATTCCACAACTTTCTTTTTTTTTTTTTTTTTTCGAATACGCTTTCGGAAAAGCAACCTCGATATCAAGGTTTCAGAAAAACGAGCACAAAAAAGTAATTCTAGTTGATATAGTTATTGACGGCCAGCTTAGCCTCGAGCCTCTCTCTAATCGTCTATCTAATAATATTAAATGAACAAAACTCGCACAATATTAGTGTGGCGATGTGAGCTAGTTGTTGCATACTTCGAACAATAAACCACAGCCCGCAAAAATCAACACAAAGTAATAGATGGACACAGTTTTTATTTTTAAAGAAACACAGCTCGTTAACTACAGCAAGGCATGTAGTCGGCCTAGTTGGTGGTACATACTGTTTGGTGGGAACAGCGCAAAAAAGACGTAGGACGAGGTCGAAGAAACAGACAGACAGGGCGCTGACATACAACTGAAAGTTTATTGCTCTGCAATAAACTTTCAGTGTGGCAGGTTCGTGTGACGGCGCGTGGGCGTGGTTGATACCGTATTTTATTGGTTTGATTTGTTTGTTCTCTCCCCTTCCTCCTTTCTGTGTTTATTTCTCTTTTTGCAGAGCAATAAACTTTGAGTTGTAAGTCAGCGCCCTTCGACCTCGTCCTACGTCTTTTTTGCGCTGTTCCCACCAAACTCGTGAACTACGAGGACACAGAGTTTTATTCTATTAATTTCTGGCCTCGTCGTTTGAGCGCTGTGTTTCATTTTTCGAACAATATTAGTACAAATATTAGTGAACAATATACTCTCGTAATCAGGATCGATGGTGATATGAAGTGGCGTGACTAAATTGATCCCCCTCTTCCAGGCTTTAGATCCGGTGTTGAAGTTCTTCTTTAAGAAAGGAGTAAGCGCTGACAGCGAATGGTCTGCCTTCCTTGCGAAGGCAAGCATTTTCGAGAAAGAACTCGGCATCAGAAAGACGCCATATTTTTCAGGTGAGCTTCCTCTCTTCAATTCGAGTAAACATACCGCTTCGAGGTTTTATTCATAAATTCATATTTAAAACTAGTTACGTATGAACCTACTCAATAAAGTCCGAAACCAGGGAGCACATTTCATTTTCTTTAGTTTAATAATGTGCCTTTTTAAATTAGCCTTTTTTTTTGTGAGATGTCAGCATAGTCTCCTAAAATTGTTCCCAAGCGACATGTTCTTAAGTATCTCGGCTTCGACTCATATAAGAAAAAAACCTCACGTTCAAAGAATTAAAGATGGCTGTCGTGGGACACTTGCCATAGTGGATAATTATTTGGTGTCTTCAAAACACTTTCAGGCGACAGGCTCCGCCCGCGTTTGTGAAGCCCTCAAAAAAAACGTTATTTGCGTTAAGTGAATGCGAGATTGTGCGGTATCTAACATAAGACAGCTTTATCAAACTGTCTTATGTTAGATAACACGAGGGCGAACGCCTTGTGTACATACATGTCGACAAAATATAGGTATGGTGTCAATATCAAACACAATGACAAATACAACTTTTACTGCACGCGCGTGGCACATTGTGGGCGTTCTTTGTTTGTGGTAGTGAAACTAAATTGTGGCCATAATGTTGTCAACCTCAAAAACTGAGCCCCTGTGCATTAAAACAAAATTTGTGACTATACTATCACGAGGTTGAAACAAAAAACAATAACATTCATCAAGTAAGTGAAAACACACACAAAATATTTTGTGGTTTTAGTAGATTATATTAGAATAAAAGAAATATGGAGACAGTCGTAGAATAGGAAGACTTGAGACAAAGTACACTTATCAGTCCCAACATTTTGACCGCCCCTACGTTGTGACAATGAGTGCGCCTAGCTCGCGTATTATCCGTGTTTATGTACCTGCTGCTGATGCGTGTGGTAGACAAAGGCTCCCGGGGACACAAAGGAATTATTTTATCAACTACGAGTGCCTAGTCGACTGCCCGGAACAAGTGTCTCGAAAACTGCGCAGCTCACCGGATGTTCGCGAGCTGCCTTCGTTGGTACCTATGAAAGGTGGAACAACGACGGTGAAATCGTTAGAAGGCACCGAGGCGCTAGTCGTCCACGTCTCATCACAGAATGTAGACGTCGGAAGAAAAATAGGCGCCCACCTTTGGCTCAATTTGCAGCTAGCTGAAGATCCAGGTCAAAGTACAAGTGTTTCTGAGCACACGGTTTATCGAACTGTGTTCGATATGGGACTCTGCAACAGACGTCCCCTGCATCTTGCTTCTGCTGACCGAACATTATTGTTGCTTACGAGTCCAGTAGGCACGTGAACATTGTGACTGGACCATGGAACAATGGAAACGAGTTTGCTTGGTTCGATGAAACACTATTTATTTTAAATCACATCGATGGCCGTGTGCAGGTACGCCGTCTTATAGGCGTACGGTTACATGTATGCTGAATGCGGACAGGCCGGGTTCTCGACGGGAATCCCTGGGACCGGTAAATGTGGAGCACAACGTCAAAGTTGTGAACTATGTCAATATCATTGCTGACCAGGGCCCATTTGCTCGAAGTGCTAACCGCGGTTAAATTTAGCCGCAGTACCTAAGACAGGGATTTTAAAATCACATGACTGGCTCGGTAAGGATGCGGGGAAACATGGCGGTGCCCCGTTGAGTGAGCGCCGCTCGCTTTGGAACTAACTTTGCGTGTCAGAGGTAGATTAGCACAGTATTAGGTGGGTGATCGTACTTTTTTGACTGATCAGTGTATAGACAGAACATTGAGATATAGAATTTGCCTGGCGCACTTCGTGTTCCGGAAATTATTGCTAAAGGTGTTTGTTTCTTCGGTCTACAACTTTTATTTTATTCAGGAATACTTCATTTTTAAATAAAATAACAGCACGACACAGTACGCAAGGCAAATCAATACCAATAAACAATTAACTAAAAATTATCTTATCATAAAAAGGGGGCAGTCACTTGAATGTCAAAATTTAGAGCGTTGAAATGTAAAAGAAGATGCTATGAACAGAAAGTGAAGGCACAAACTAGTGCTGATGGTTTAACATACTTGACTAACTGATCCCGAGACTGCATAGAACGAGTGGTTACTAGAAACAGAAGTTTCAAACAGCTCCAGAGAAAATATGCGTTTTGGTTGGCGAACACTAAGGCACGTTTACTGCATGATAACTAGTTTTCATGAAGTCGTAATGTTACTGTGGATACCTTACCGGCTTCATAAAGCAGCACCATTACCTTTAATGTATATCAAGCAGTGCTTCCATCATGCTTACCCATTTCTTTTTCAGGAGAGAAGCCTGGATTCGTCGACTTTGCCAATTGGCCAACATTTTCAATGGCTCTAGGTCTGTCGACTTTTTTTGAAGCACAAAAGATGCCATCGCAAGAGGAGTACCCCTTACTTCACAGATGGTGCGAAATCATGAGGCAGGATCCAGTAGTGACTTCGGTCATAAACGAAAGTAACACTCTTGAATTTATAAGAACTGCCATGCTGGGTGACACTAATTTCGATGCTGGCTTGTGAAACGATTGTTTTCTGTCTGATGGTCGGCGTAAAGAGTAATAAATAATTCCTTCTACTTTGTTTTGTTTTAGCTTTTGCATGTTCGACTTCCATGTCTTCATGTGATCCTAGACTTCGCCTTGCCGTGATTCTTACGGGGACGGTGGTTAGTTCTCCTTTCAGGCGAAATCCTGCGGTGTCCGAACTCAAAAACTTACGTGATTGAGGGGAAAGGTTGACGACGATGGGCAACGCTAAAGCATGGAACACATGAGCGCTGAAAGTGAGCGTCGCGCGGCCTTCGCCGCTAGGCGCGCCACAGGCGCATCGCGCGGCTTCATCGGTATCGACCAGGTCCTAGCGACGCAGCGATTAAAACGGGCGCCGTGCGGCAGTATCATAGCAACCGGTGCTGGCTTCCCTACGTCACTTCCGCGAGGCGTCACTCGGACCTGGTCCATACAGACAGACTCGCACGTAACGAGTTATAAGTAATAGATTACTTGTAATCGATTACGTTTTAGGTAAATTTCGTAACGCTTCACTTACTTTCTTGAAGGAGTTACGATCTTTGTAATTGAATTACGTTTTTGCTATAATCCATTACAAAATTACCCATTACAAATTTTCTCAATTTTTTTTTTTCTTGGAAAGGGGAGTGGGGAGTTAGATGTGCTGGAGCTACTTAGCTCTGGGCAACAGTCATTTTTTTTTCTTTCACATTACTAATAGCGGGACCGCGAGAATTAGTAAGCCACGCCTCCGTCAGATTGCGGGAACCTCGGCCGGTATTTAAACCCGACGAATGTGGATTCACAGGCCAGCGCGTTGGCTCAGAGGTACTGAGAGGTTTTAATGTTTTGTTTTAATAGCATTGCCACTTAAGTGCCACCGATGCGGTTTTTGAAACAGAATATAGTCGAACCATTCCAACAAGCATAGTTTGATTGCGGAAATGGTTGTTGCAAGTGATAAAAACATTGAAATGTTTTCGCATGCATGGCAGAAGTCCTTTCATGGCGCCCATTTCATTTGTATCGCGTCAGGCATAAGTACCGACGCGCAGTAGAACGCGCGCAAAAGTAGCTGTGGTGCACCCACAGCCTTGCGCTTGTTGTTCTGATACCGCTGGCTTGCTCACTGCGGGCATCCAGAGATGTGACACCCTGACATCTGGCGCTTTTTCTTTCTTTCACGTGGCGTTCCAAGCGGCACACGACGGAAAATGTACATCAAGCTATTCTTGAACACGTGTCGCCATCTGTATTTTATATTAAGAAACTGCAATCTGTCGTAACTGAATGGGAAACGTTTGAGGTTTAATAACATTCTTAATGTGTAATATCTCAATATAGAAGTTTCGGAAAAGGTAATATACTTCATAATTTAATGTCTCGTAATTTTTATTATTTGACGTGATTCCGTTTTTGTAGCAACATAAAATAATACCATTTTAAACTTTATTTTTTTTTTATTTTAAAATATGCATTATCTGTACAGTTCATTGCTTACTTTTATTTAATTTATTATATCCAACCGAATGCTCACGTAAACTATCGTGGACGGCGGGACGTTAGAACTTAGAACTCGAGAAATATTTTTTCTCTATCAAAGACTGCGGTCTATTAAAAGCTGAATAATTAGCTAACCACTGAAGGTATTCGCAAAAAGCGAGACATTACAGTATTGTTGAAAAACACCTTTTTAATTTGGCATTAACCTTAATATTGTAGGATACATAAAAAGAAAGTTATAAACCGTCAAAAAAAGCCCCAAAACGTCATGCAAGGTGGGGCTGCACCTTAATGCCTGGTTCACATTTACGAAAAACTCTCTTGACGTCGACGGGATTTACTGGGCGGAAAAAGACGGCTCCGTTCGCATTTGTTACCAGCCGTCAGGTTCGGCGGCTTCGGTCTCTCGCGGTTATCAGAGCGAACTGCTCCTGGCTCGAATGGTGCTAAAAAATGCTCTTGCAGACTTCCTTTTGCAGTGCTAACCCGCAGTGCCGAGAAAATGCGTAACATTCTCTCGGCGATGCGAGAAGGCAATAATAAAGCAACTAGCAAACGGAGACAACGCGCGTACATACCACGCACGCCAATTTTATTCCCACATCTTCTTTGTGGGCTCTGTCTTCTTAGCTCAGATGCTTCTTGCCAAGCTTGGTTGAATAATTCAGTCTCGATCAGCATTTCTGCCGACACAACGATACCAGCCAGACGGCACCTTTTGCACAACTTGGGAACTCCGGCAACTCCGGCGGCAACACCAATTCAAGCGACTTGGCCAGGATGTGACGCCAGCAAGCGCCATTTCCTCCGTGCGTTCCACCTGCGGAGCTCGACTCTATACTCTGTTTCACCTTATGATGTACCGCAGAAAAGGCCACAAGCGCCAGCTCCTAGCTCTGGGGCAGATCTCGACGGCACAAGTTAAGGGAAGCTACCAACGCTATGAACTCGCGCTTCTAGCCTTCGCCGCGGTACAACATAAGGTGAAACGGAGTATAGACCTTTTTCACAAGGGCGCCGCCATCTTGAAATATCGTCACTTCCAGTATAGGCGAAAACATTGCTTTGACTTCGCCACGCCAATAGAATGCATTTAGGATATAAGCGTAACCGTCACCCATTCTAGTTTTCTCTTCCCTTTATTTTTTTACTACTTGCAGATTGAAATGTTTCAGGCGAGAGTAAGTGAAAAAGGTCTATAGTGCCCAGACGCCGAAACACACTTCTCCCGAGCAATGGAATGTCCGCTCGTGCTTCTCACGTTCTTCGGGTTGCTGCTTCTTTTCTCGTCGGGTTTGAAAACCATGTTTCGGGTCCTCGCCTCTGCAAAAGCTGTGCGCTGACTACAGGCTCCCCGAGAAATGCTCTGTGCTACCAGATCCTCGCGCTTAAAGTCTGCAACCAGGAACGCTATGGCCCCGTCCTCGAACTACCAGGCTTTGTGAGTATAGAGGAGGCTATGAACCAACGTAACAGGGCCATTATACGAAGAAAGAACACACCTCGAGACAGCTTCGATCTGTACAAGCATCGTACTGGCTTGCGGTCGCGAATCTCTACTGCGTGGTGCACCTTAAGAAGTTCGGGCTAGCGACGGTACCGCACTGGCTAAATTTCTCATCTACAGCTGAGACACCAGAGGCCCCATGGGGGCTGACCTACTTTCGGCTGTTCAAACATACGCACAACACAATCACGCCTCAGACAGTGTCTGCAGATTTTCTTTTATATGATGCATTAGCAGTCTGACCGATGCTTTATGGACCCATATAAACATGTGAGGAACGTAGCTGCGTTTGTTTTTTTTCTCGTTTGTTTGTGGAGATTGGCTTTGTCGTGAGCCAAAGTGACGGCCTCCGAATATTCGTCAGTCTAGGCCACGGTGTAAGATAATACTCTTGAGGTGAGGACAGCACGCTCCTCGCGCAGTGCAGATAAAGTTCGCTTTACACTCTCTCTCTCTCTCTCTAGTTTTATGGTTTCAAGCGGCGCCGGCAGACGACTCGTCGACCCGTGGGCACGGCAAAGACGGCTCGCGCCGCCTCATGCTCCACACGCGCAGAGCTGCAGCGAGGTTGTCGCTCGCGCAGAAAGACCACGGTGTACCGGGGTGTCATGGCAACAAGATAATTTTTTTCCGCTCTCACACAGTTTCGCCGTTTGGCCGCCGGCGACACTGTCAGCCGCGGGCACGGTGGCCGCAAATAATGCACTCTTTCGGATGCCCGTCGGACGAATTCTATCTGATTCCTCGCGCCCCGCGTTCAGCCCCGCCGTGTCCTCACCTAAAGAGGGCACCTTACACCGTGGTCTAAGCCTGGAAGTGGAGCGAGGCGGACGGAAAAAATTAGGAAGTGTAGACGATTGCACGCGGTACATCTGAACGCCACCGTGTCTCTGCATGTGTGGGCAAGCACATGCAATCACAAAACCTGTCAAAGCCACTTTCACGCGAACGCTTCGCGTTCTGGTGCCCGTGGGGCACCAGTCGGGGCGCTAAGCTTACAGCGGGACCTTTTTAAAAGTTTGAGTCGATCACCTTGTGGAACTCCCAAAAGCTCCATAATTGACGCTCTAATGGCGGTGATATGAGATCATGCTCGGCCAAATCAAACACCCTAGATTTCGTGAACTGAAGGTGACGTAAAAGAATCAACATCGTTTTCCCTTTCTGCTCTTTGCTTTCGAAGACGTTCGCTTTTTTGGTGTGGAGAAGCTGTGTAGTGCCGCTGCTAGAGCGTCGGGTTCTGCTATGCACAAGGTGGGTAAGCTGACTTTAAGAAAGGGTCTATTTAGCGAAATGTTTATTACAAGTTTACCGTAGCTACGTTCACGCGCACGCTGCACATGCACGCATGGGACACCAGTGAGGCGCCACGCTTGCAATAGGCCCTTTCCGAAAGTTATTCTACACACCCTGTGCAGAGCCAAACCTGACGCTACCGGCGCTCTTATGTCGGAATTACACAGCTTCTCCACACCAGAATAAGCGAACGTCTGCGAAAGCATACAGCAGAATGGGTGAAAAGATGTTGGTCCTTTTACGATACCTTCGATTCACGAAATCGAGGGTGCTTGATTTAGCCGAGCATGATCTCCTGTCACTGCCATTAGAGTGGCAGTATTGGAGCTTTTGGGACTGCCCTTAGCTGACTCTGCCCTATTGCCGCTAATAGCCTAAAAGGCTATTAGCGGCAAGATGTTTCGGTGGCGCCCTCGTTCGGTTATCTTTCGTGACGTCATTACCTTGTGAACAACAAGTTCGATAGTGTTTGTAATGGGCATGGTGGAAGCCTGAAATCATAGCGCTCTCAAAGCAACACTGCCAACACCGTCAAAATTTAAGCTCTTACATTCCTCTTATTTCCGTCGACGGGACATCATTTGCTGATGTCATAGTCAGCATTCGGCCAATTGTGGTGGGCCGACCACAGCGACACTTTCGATCGCTCACGTCGCCAATATTGTCACGAATAAAGATAACGAGAGGGCGAATAGTAAACTCAAAGCAAAGGTTTAATCGGCGAACTTGTACCAAACAAAATAAAGAACGAGCGTCTAGGCAGCAGAAAAGCGG